CCACCCCTTTTTACCATCGGGGTTGGGTTTTCGTCGCTTGGCAAGGACGTTGGAAAACAAGCCGCCCCCCCCGGTGTTTGCCATCGGGATTGGGTTTTCGTCGCTTGGCAACGACGTTGGAAAACAAGTCAATTCACTTCGTGAACTCGGCAACCATGTTACCGATTTTTTTTTTTACCTCTGTTTTTTTTTGGCGGTAACCAAATAGTGGTCGAGTATATCATGTTGTGCGGGGTCGAGAACCCTCACTCCGCGCAAGGGGGATGATCGCACCACGTTGTGCTGAAATAGTCAAGCACCCTCGAGGCAGTCACACAGTGCTAAACAACTGTCTCTGGAAATGAAGTCCCAGAAAATAAATTAAGTCATACGCAGCTGTCATCCGTACGCAAGGAAGTAAGCACAAGATGCCGAAAACCCTTAGCAGGATGCAGCGCACCCTTCATGCGACTCGCCGAATATCTCACGGCGCTTCGCGCTTGGTGATGTGAGAGCCTGGTCCGGTGNGACTCGCCGAATATCTCACGGCGCTTCGCGCTTGGTGATGTGAAAGCCTGGTCCGGTGAGAACCCGGCGTGCTCCGTCCCGGCTTTGTAGGGATGCGAGGTCAATGGTCTAACGACTACAGGCATGCACGGCCATGAGTACACTCCCCCCCCCCCTCAAAGGTTCGCCCCACGGGTAGACAAAACAACATCGAAGCCTCCGCAATACATACCTTGTCGACACCCTTCTGATTCAGCCTCCGCAATACGGGCTGGTAGCACCACCCCAGCACCGCAGACACCCGCGGCCGCCCGGACAACAACGCTCTACGCGCTACCGAGACGCCGCCGCCGCCACCATGCCCTAGCCCTTGCCTCGGCGGCGGCCCCGCCACCCGCACACCTCTCCCGATCGACGGCGGCGTGCTCAGGTCGGCGAGGTCTGCCGCCTTGCCCCCCCAGCTCCTCCGCCAGACCGCGTCGACGGCCGTGCCGGAGGGGGAGCGGCCGACCTCGACGTCCATGTCGTTTTGACTGCTCCTGGCGTCGCCACCGCCGCCGCCGTCGCTTTCGCTCCTGATTCGGCTCCGACCGCGCGGGAGGGTCTCACCGCCCCCGGTGCCGGTGCTACGGGAGGCGTGGAAGTGGTCCAGCTCTGCGAGGGCGTCGAAAAACTGTGAGCGGCGCAATGACGAGGGGGGGGAGGGGCGAACAAGGCGAGTTGTGAGCGGGGGGAAAGGCGCCATTTTGGAGGCAAAGGGTTGTGACATGAAGACCGTTGTGTGGTGCTGGGGCTAGGGCGGTGGTCACACAAGATGGTTGGGAGCTACAGGTTACGCTCAGCTCGGCACGGGCACGGAATCTACGGATGCAAGCTTTGGAGGGTTAAAGGCAAGGAATCTTACCCCAAACAAAATTTATCGTGTACTAGGCTAATCGGATAGACGCATTGCACACGGACACTTCGCGCTCCCAAACTGCACAACAACAAAAAAAAACGAGGAGAGAAGGCGAGCACCTCCCGCCACGATCCCCCAACAGGTGCCTGTGTCCGCACCTCTTCGTCGGAGGTCGTAATCGATTCCTCCGCATCCTCCCGCATCCCTTCGGCAACACCCGCGCTTCCGCCGCCGCTACCGCCGTCGCCACCGCCCCACGCGCTGCTCCAGAGCCAGCCGACCGGCCCCCAAGTTACAGCACGACCTCCGAACCACCCTCGATGTTCGCCCCCTTTGATCGCCACTTCCTCCTCGTGTTCGAGATGCTCCTGCTGCGGGGGCTCGGGCGGAGGCAGCCGCGCCTGACGTCCCGGGGCAACACCGACTATTGCCGCTCCGCCGCCGCCCTCTTCGCCACCGCCGCCACCATTGGGTAGGGGGTTCTCGTTGCTACCGCCGCTGGCGTTCCCATTGCAGGCGGCGCCTCCGCCGGTTCCACCGTCGTTTCCACCGCTGCGGCTGCCGCCTCGGCTGCCTGCGGCATACAGCGCGTCGGCGAGCGAAGGCAGGTCTTCCTGTCTCCTACCGGTGCCGCCGTACTCCGGCGACAGCTGGTCCGGGTCGGCGATCTCCTGGAGGGCCTTGGCCCAGTCTTGCGGCTTCGAGATGATGGAAATCTGGAACAACGACGGGTTGTTCCGTCAGCAGCAACGCAGGCGGCGGCGGCGGCGGCGGCGGATGCCATAATCGATTGGTGGTGGTCTTGTCTTCGTGTACTCGAGTCGATGGAAGCTACACTTCACTTTCAACATTGAAAAAAAGAAATGTAGAAGTATACATCAATGTTTTTTTCGACGGAATTGGATCCGATCCGATACAAAGCGGCGAGACCATGACGAAGGAACGGCAGTAGGGGGGATGCTGTGGTGGGTGAATAGATTCGTAAGGTACTAAATATCTATCGCCTGAAAAAGTAAGGTTACAGGTGATGTCCACGGACGGTACAGCAGATACGCCGAGGAAATCCGTTTATTGATAATGGTCCTTTGATAAGGATTGTCGTTGTTGGGATTGCCGTGCACAACAGTAACCAATGAACGAACAGCACATTTGCAGCTCGTGCACCGACACCAGCGTGTGTGTGATCTCTTCTTGAACCCAACAAAGGGGCGGCGCAACTCCTTTCGTTTCATGGTCACGTTCCAATGGACGACGTGGCGCCCCACCCACATACCTTGGATCGTGTGCGCTCGTCAACAAGAGGGCTAAACATGGACCAGACGTAGCTGAACAGGCTCGGGGTGTTGACGATGAAGCATTTCCCCAGCATCTCGGGGAACAGGAGCTGATCCATGTGGGCCCTCAACTTGAAGAGCCGCACGAAAGCCTTGGTTACCTCCCACGTTAGAACATATTTCGTCAAGAGAAAGGAGGATGAGAACGTACTTCGTAAAGAGGAAGGAGCGACACTCGTCTACGGTGAACACATACGAGAACTCACCGTTTTTGCTACGAGGCTCGATGGTGCAGGTGTTTTCCAATACCTTTGAACTTGTAGATATAATTTTCAAATTATCCAAGCCGCACTTTCATCGTGTTCATATTCACAAGGCTAGAGCTTGGGGGGGGAAACATGCGCCGGTATGCTGCACAAGGGGCGCCCTAGATATCCAAAAACCATCTCCCTTGTGTCATACACGCCTCTAGCGTTTTTGGGCGTACAAATCCCCTCGAATTACCCTTCAGCAATGGCCTGCGACATCACCGGGAAGATTTGATCATCATCAGCCAGAAAAAAAGCAACAATAACAGCCACGACATCAGTCTTCGTCGTATGAAACTCTACAAAAATGTTGTACATGTAGCACCCAGTCCCTTTCGCCTTGAGGTGGTGGCCATGACACTACCCCCACTTACAGCGGAGCGCCAAAAATCAGCCAACAAGCGACTATGTAACAAAAAAGAAGCGAGCAGGAAAAGCTGCCCACCCCACTCACGTGCCGCAACGTGAGCCCGCCTGTGTCGATCACCACCACCGCAGTGTCCACGATATGACCAGCCCGCTCCGCCGCGGCCCCCTCTCCTCCCCCCCCCTCCAATGTGCGCCTGCGGAGCACCCGCAGCAGCAGCTCCTGCTCCCGCGCGTGCAGCTCGGTCATGCGCTCGACCGTCGTGAGCTTCGTCATTTCCCATAACCGTAGAGAACCGTACTGGGTCGCCAAGATGGGACGGCCCAACTTGTCGAAGCCCATGAGCCACCTTGGGTAGAAGCTGTGTCCGTGTGAATTAGTCGGGGTTGGGTGGGTGTGAGTAGGGGTTCATACAAGTCTTGGTGGGCATAATGGTTCAGCAGAGGGGATGGGTTAATGGAGTTGGGTTGGGTTGCAGCGGTAGACAAAGGTTGGGTAGGGGTTCCAGGTGCTGTGATGCATGAAAAACAAACCGAGTGAATACTTGGGTGGGCGGCAGACGGACAGTTCGTTTAGGGATACGTGCACCATCCTGACGCTAGCACATTGATATATAGTGGCGGTTTGGCGTGCATTTGGCGAAACAAAGAAAAGGCCAGCTTTGACTTGGACCAAAAACTCCAGGGATGTTCACGGTGCGTTTTTTCGACGGTGCGGTGCGGTGCGGTGCGGTGCGGTGCGGTGCGGTGCGGTTATAAACCGCACCACACCGTAATTGTGTCAAAAAACAAAACACCGTACCGTGAACATCTCTGAAATATTCATCATGGTGTGAGTAACAAAAAAGTCCCGGACGTTCCGCCAAGGCAACAACAGCAGCAGTAACAAACATCAGCAACAGACACTTGCCTGTAACGATAATCCTACTGCCAGTCGCCTCCCCTCCCAGGCATACACGGCCTACCTGTTGAAGTCCTCCAAGTTGCACGCCAATATGTCGTGCGGCGACTTGGACAGCAGCCTGTCCGTTGGGTGTTGCCTCCTGTATTCGACGCAATCCTCCAACTAAAAAAAAAATGTTGGGGAACAGAGTGCAAGAGTCGAGAACGCGAGACGAGAGCTTGGGTCAGGAGTGGGATGGCACAGCTTAACGCATGGCTACGCGCGCAGCAGGGGTACGCACGCACCGTTGGACGATTCTTTTGTTGCTTCAAAACAAGGCGGGACAGCCAGACGTGCTGATGTTCCTCTTCTGTTGTTGTTGCAACATAAGGCGGACAGCTAAACGTACCGATATGCCGACAGCGTCGTCAGCGCACCAGCGCCAACACGAACCTGTACATAAAACCTAACTGCCATTCGGACGACGTCCATTTACACGATGAAGGACGACCAATCAGTCTATTTTTTCGGGAAGAGAGCGTGGAGCCGTTCGCAGGGAAACGGTGCAGTTGCGCCTCCTCGCGTGAACAAGTGCGTTGTAGTCCAGTAGTAGAACTACCTTGGTGTAGTGATAGGACACCTCGACATGCAATGCCGGTCCTACAAGGGGCTATACAACATCATTCAACACGCGGAACGGCCAAACGCAACAGCGCAGGATGGCGAGACCAACATACCCCACGAGACCTAAACATGCAGGCGTGATCGCCAAGCACGCGTGTGCAACACGCGTGTGGACACGAAACCGCCAGCGCCAAACACACCTGGGAGAGGGCCTTGTTCACATCGAACGCGTTCCCCCTCAAGAACCGCAAGAGGCACAGCCTCAGGGGCTCCACCGCGTGGTCCCCCCCCTCGAACCCCTGTCCGTAGGCCCCCCTCACCATACCCAGGTCCAAGCCTTGGGCGGCAGATCGCAGCTCGGCGAGCGCCGCCTGCGCTTGCGAAGGGGCGGCGGCGAGAGAGCACGTCAAGGTTGGAGAGTAGAGCAACGCGTCTGGTCCGAGGAAGCCTTCCAAGAGTTTGATTCCAGTTAGATGACTATAGTTGAAACGCCCGCCCTTGGATGCAGCAGGCTGATCGTGATCCAAGGCTGCACTACAATGATAATATCGTGGCTGCAGGGTGGCCGTGAATGGGGGAGTCGCGGTTCGAGCACGCAAGGGAGTAGTAGTATGGAATGATGGAAAGGGTGGGTGGGGGGGTGCGTGTACTCGAATGGAGGTGCGGGTATTGCGTCGTAAAACGCACAGCTTTCGGGCCACCCGTCTTCCGAAACTTCGCGTTGTAGGCGCGTTTCGGAAGGAATCAGCGACCCACCCACCAATAGAGCCACGGGGCGTCTGCAACAAAGCAGCTGACCAGCCTCGAAGACAGCAACGAAACCTCCACCGACATACAGCGTTTTTCCACGAGCGCTGCTGCGCCTACATGAATATGGAAACCCGTTTTGGCCTCGAAAAACGAGACTTGTCGCGAAAGCGGAAGCTTGGCAACTCAACCGCTTTAAAAGCGAGTACTTCAGACGGATCCTACCAAAGCGGGGAGGGGTCTGAAATGGGGTTTTATTGGTCGATAGAAGTGGGCATTTATATATGGCGACGATGATGATCTCATTTGTTCGTTCCGCTGCGCCCCGTGGGGCTTTCAAGCTACACGCCGCCGGTCGTTTCTGGGCGGCCACGAAACGCCCCTGCCGCGTCCAACGATCTCACCCATGACACGCCACCTACGGGGGGCGGCCGAAACTTCGTGAGCGCGAAAGGTCACCTCTTCCTGTGCATACGTACACGCCGCGAGAAACCTCTCTCACTTCCCCGCTTCCTTCCCCGGCCACGGGCCTCAAAAATCGTGAAAGCGTGCTACAAGGGCTGAACTGCTGTGAGCAACGGCTCGTTTTCGAGCTTTCCAGGGCCTCTGTATGAGCAATCGCGGACAGCCTACGCGGCAGCACCCAGGAAATAACAACTGTTGCCCACAACGAAGACATCGCTGTGTGCTGCTCGGGAACCGTGGAAATACACTTAGCTTCCTCTGACGCTATGAATTCACTGATAAACTATCTTAGACTCTTTCTTCGATAGAAATGGATTCGTTGGGTCATGTTCAGAAAATAAATAAATAACAACGGGGTGTGACATGCGGGCGAACACGCTCCAGAACCTGGCCAACTGGGGGACGAAAGAGAAAAAAAAAAAAAACATGTGCTTCAAGGCTTATGGCTTCTCGTCCCAAGCGGATACTAAAAAAAAGTACTGCTGTGTTGGTAACATGCCGTGACAGTAGTCAACGGACAATGTCGTAGCTTTCACTTGTGGGGAAGATTCCAAGATTTCAACGAAGGCAGGGGGGGGGGCACAGCCAGGATTCAGAAACGAATGTGGAAGTTTGAGGGAATCGGAGCAACTTTTGGGTGCGCGGAGCTGAACGTACATTTAAAATACAAACGAACCCCCAGGAAGCGATGCAAGGATTCGTGGATTGTTGGACTGCAGAGCGGCTATCACCCTCGGCAGGGCTCTCTAGAATTTGAACATCACTTCGGGACAACAAGGCTGATGTGGTGCTTCACGAACGAGCACGCTGTCCCGGAAAAACGCAGCGCGTGCATGTATACATTCAACAGAAGGCGATGTTTTCCAGGTACCCCATGTCTATCTACAGCATCAGGTAACACAATGGAGGGTACAACACATGTCATCGGGGTATTATATTGAAAGGGGCGGGGTTCACTACAAGTAGGGTGTGGGAAGTGGTTGAAACAGCGGTTCGAAGTCATGAGGAGAGCTTGTCGTGTGTGTACGGCGGTGAATTGCGACAGCAGTCGCGCTCGGGTTTACAGCAGTAGACTACTGCTGTAAATAGTAGGCGGTGAACGTCATGACAGGGATGGATCACGATATGCACATATCTTCATGGTTGCCTAGCAATCAGCTAAAGTTGCATACGAAGATCTGCAGATCTACAAAGGACAGCACCAGAATGTGAACTACATGCATGATAGCTCTCCAACGCACAAGCAGCCGGAACATCGGCATGTACATTCGTGTGAGAGAACACTAAAAACGTTCCGACCAGCCGCAGCAGAGCGGGGAGAGGCCACAACTCACCTCCTCATCTTGCGTCAGGCTCCCTTCATAGCCCTCCAAACTAGATCGCGGATCGTCTGGGTGGTACCTTAGCATGCCTCAGCAAGTGTGCATCGACGGCCACCCACTCTACTCCTACACACGGCAGCTGTTAGCCGGCGACGGGTGGGCGGTGGGCGGCGGCACGCGGGCGGGATAACGGAAAAAAAAAAATCACGGACAAACGCAGGTAGGTGTACGTAGGTTCAGCGATGCTTCTTTCTTCTGCAGGTCCCCCCCTCTTGCTCTCTTGCCAAGGTGGGTCAGCTGAGGTGCTCAGCAGTCAACGCAGGTATCGTCGATATCTAAACCCAGGTTCAGGAGTTAGGCAGTATCGTCAGAAGTTTGTTGCAGCCATGGACGATGTGAGTGCGTGGGTTGTGCATCAACGGGTCGATGCCAGCTTAAAGTTTTGGTTCTCTTCGGTACGGATTTACCGCTTCAGCAGTTCAGCATCAGCAGCAGACCGGGATGCGGCGAAACCAGCAATGCGTCCCCGAAAGCTACCTCGTACATAGTCTATATTTGTTTCTCCTAATAGTCTGAAGTAGAAGGTGGATCGTAGCTCCGTAGCCGTGTGGTGTAGAGTGGACGACTGGGGACGTAGGCAGCTTGTCTCTCACACTTGCAGTTTGTCTGATGTTAATCATGACGAATCATCTGCGGCCTGCTGAATCTGCAAATTGGTCCATCCTATGCTACATCCTTAGACAATGAACTAAATACCGTTACCCATCTACACATGTACAGAGTTTAGAGCACACACAAGGTGGCAGGGGCGGGACAAGCCGCAAAGGAGGTAGTACAGCAGTACTTCATAGCCTCATCATTTTACATCACTGGAGTCTTGTACGCTCTCTGACGGAAAGTCTTTCTTTGACAGCACGCATGGGCTCTGTATGGCCCCGCCGTCGCCCATTTCCTTAGCCGTGAGCGGGCTATGGGCCTCAGCGCTCGATGATTACAAGCAACATGTTATGCTCATATCTCGCACGGTCTTCACTCGAACTCGTCCGTCGTGTGCACTCAACTCATTTTGTCTGTCCTGCATTCCCATGGCCGAAGGCGTTCGAAAGCATGAAGGCAAGCTCCATGAGGCTTTTGGGGGGGGAGCCGGAGGAGAAAAGCGCGCTGCGGGAGATGGAGGAGGCGGTGTGCAGCGTCTGCCCTTCCCTGTCGTGGAGAAATCGGCTCATTGGCTACGGCGCTTGTCTGGCAGTCGGCTTCTGCCTTACCTTCGGGTCTCTCTTCAGGTTAGCATCACTTCGAGCAAAAGGCAGCAGTTGGGGCTGTGTCTCATCCTTGGTTTTTCGCGATCGAGGCCACGGCACGCGCTTGGGAGCTTGCGTTTCGTCGTGGATGTTATCAACTACTGCCGCTAAATGGATGGTTTCAGCAACAGAAAATGCTATTCTTGCAGCAGCGGAGACGTGACCACTTCCGGCATCCCCTCGGGCAGGCTATACAGAGCTCTCGCCAACTTGTGGCTCCGTGTTTCAACTGACAACTGGACGTGACTACCAACGGTTCCAAATAAATATCTTTCTGCACACATGTTAGCTGTGGAATTGCCATCCTTTGATCATGGCAGTCTACAAACCAGCAGCACATGAATATGCGGCAATTGAGTAAAAAGGCGGGAGGTCGCACTGATATGCAGCAGGATTCCTCAACGTCATTTTTGGTTCACAAATTTGACCTCATACACCAGCACGCAGGACGCCCACCCCCACCCCCCCCCCAACCCCTCTATCCCGTCCGCGGCGTCACCAGGGTGGGGCAACTGCTCACAGGGAACCCGCGGCCGTTCGTCCTCTACTTCTCGCTGGGAAGCATGCTGAACATCTGCAGCTCCTTTTTTCTCACGGGCCCGTGGAAACAGATCAAGAAAATGTTCAATCCCGTAAGAGCCGTGGCCACCAGCATCTACCTGGCCACGCTTTCCGCGACCTTGTTCGTGGCTCTCTCTCCGTACGCGAGCGTGCCCTTCCGGGGCATCCTCCTCCTGTGCCTTGTTGTGGCGCAGTTCTTGTCGTACGTGTGGTACACCCTCTCTTACGTCCCGTTCGCGCGGAGGTTTATGGCTGGGTTTTGGTCGGGGTTGAGAAGCGGAGGATGATGAAGCGAAGATGTTCTCTCTTTTTCCACAGGTCGCGCCCGCGCGCGTTGTGTGTATTCATTTCGGTTCCTGCTCCGACCGCGCTAACCGGCTGACCCAATGAAAATTGTGCGTGTGTGTTTTGTGTTCTATGCAGCCGTTCCTTGTGGTCGGTCTTAACAACCTCTTCTCGTTTGGGTGTTACTATGCGTAGACTATTATGACTTATCTGTGTTTTATTTCCGTAAAATCTTATCGCTAATAGATGTGCAGTGTAAGCTCGTTCTTGCCTCTTGTAACACAAGCGTGATCACATTTAGGTATCGTAAATTCTACATCGAAGCTGGGGAGCGGAGGAACGACATCAACGCCGGCGGTGAACGACTGTTTCAGAAATTCCAGTGTCGTTCATTTGCAGCAGGCTCGTGTTTTCTGTTTTCCCCGGCGAGTACTGGGAGCGGGGAAGGTTGTTCTATACCGTGGGCTAAGTATTTATTTTGTCGGGGGGGGGGTTCGGAAGAGGTTCGTCCTTGGTGTCAGTGTAGCCCAGTCCCCGTGGAATCATGGCCACCCCATCATTCTGGTGGTCTGGTCGATCCCGAGGCAGCTCGGTTGGTTTAGTGTCTTGGTTGCTTTTCAACCTGAGCTTACGGTGGTGCTGCAGGGTCATAGTGGGAGCACATCGTGCCATTAGTAGAGGGCGCAGTCGCCTTGTTGAAGCTGTAATACGCAGTCCCGTTGGATTTTCCTGGGGGTGTTGCTACTTTTGTTGGTCTTTCGTATTTTTTGTTGTGTTTGACCTCTGTCCTCGAAAAACGCAACGGATGGAAGTTGGTCCTTCTGAGACGAGAGAACGCATTGCTAGTGAACGAGAGTGCTGTGATGTGGGTAAGCGATGCCTACAAATATGGTTGCAAGGGGGGAGGCCTCCTACCAGATGTACGTCGCGGACCCTGCGTGGTCAGTGAGGGTGAACTCTTTCTTCCGTATGTCAACCTCGTTTTTTTTTGTGTGAGGAATATTCTTCTTGCTTCTCGCGGGACGGCCGTTGTGGCGAGGATCGCTTTCGCGTGTCTCGTTCTCCCCGCTTTCGATCGACAAAGAGCAAGGTGTAATCAGGCGTCTACATATGTTGCATTAGCACGAGTGCGCCGACTGGCACGATTGCGAATCATCAAGTTTCGCTCTCTCTTTCTCTCTCTCCCTCTCTCTCTCTCTCTCCCTCTATCTTACACTTCATCTCTTGATGCTCTGCACCCCCCTCCACCACCCCACCCCCCATCCGAAAAACGATTCCGGGGACACTTCGTTGCCATGCTGCACTTTGTCTTCGAGGAGTAAGCCATCTTGTTCAAGACGAAGTCATTTTTGGATGAGATAAACGTTCTCAAAATAGGAGCATAGCGGCTGAGTGGGTGCACCCCTTCTTCGTGGAGGTTTGGTTCCAAGTTCATCAGACGGATTTGAGAAACCGCACGCCCCGTTCTTGACTTCAAGAAGAGACCGCCACGAAAGCGAAAGAACACAACCCCTTGGCCTCCAAACCTGACCAATCCTTAGTATCCCTCTCTCTCAGTTCACTTACTGCTGCTGTTTAGCTTTCCTCCTCTACGCTACATCCAGTGTCCCTTGCCCTTGCACGTGAATTTTTCGAGGAATAGACTACTCCAAAGACGTCCTCCAAACAAACATGATACCCTAAAATACAGGAACAAACGCCTCTGGTAAATTCGACGGCTTCAATAAACACTACTGTAGGTTCTAAACAACTTGCCCTCTTCTCTTGCTTTCTTCTTCCTTTCGAATGCGTTGCGTTGACAGACCGCTTCCAAAACACTCTCCCGCGCTCTTTGAGTCCAATTCGTAAAGGACGACAAAGAAAGTAGAATAACCCCGAACAGCTATTGTGACAAGGGCATATCGCACATACATGTACTCAGAATCTGCCCATCTATGTGTTCATTTTTGCCGGGCTTTGTATCTACGATTCCATATCTCAACGACGCGCCCGTGTAGTCTCTGTATATCAAAAACGAATGAATGCAGCAATCCGTTCATTGCGAAAAACAACACTTCGATCGGTGGAGATGGGTATGACGACGTGCACACAATGCATGCTGGAATGAACCTTGAAATGGGAGATAGAAACGGCACTCGCCGTGAAGTGTGGACCCACGAATTCTATCGCGTCTTTGACTAACACAACAGAACCCGGGGTGCCATGCTTCCAAGTACTACAACTGCACGATTCTGGGAGACAGAAACACTGGTTGCGCACGTCGATTCATTGGACAGGGGACAAGAACTACACAAAGGAAACAAACAAAAACACAACGACAATATTGCAGCTACCAGTCGGTGCAAACGTGGACAAGTTTCTCCTTTTGACGAAAAAAGTTACGCAAACGACGACCAACTCTGGAAGGGTCTTCTCGGACGCCAATGATCACCCGTCAGACAGCGGCAGCCACCTCCCACCTGGCTCCGGTTGGGGCCACGACCCCACACCATCATGCTGGAAGCCAACGGTAAAAGTATTTACCACCATTAACCCACGGCGCCGCGGTCCGTGTGCGACAGAATATCCGTACGTCCCTCACCCGACGTTGACATCACTCTCAATCCGCTACCACCGCCGCTGCTGCTGCGCCGTTGCCGGCACGTACTTGAGCGATTCCTTCAAGAACCAGCTTCTGAACGCTCTGAGCGAGCATCGCCTCCGCGCTCTTGGTGGTGACTCTCGTTGCTCCCGTGGCAGGGTGCAGCTCTACTCCCACGAGGCATATTTCTCGCGCTTCCGCTGCCATCCCTTGCCCTGCCTCCGCCGCAGTCGCACTCTTGGCGGAGGAGGGAGAACGGGCGGTGAGAAGAAGCTCTCCGGCTGCAGCAACCAGCTCCACTCCTGGGGCCGCCGCCCCCGCTGGTCGCTGCTGGGCGACCTCTCTGATACCGAGAGTCTCGACCAGAATTCGCCTGACATCGGAGGATGAAACACGTTGTTTCTGCTGCGGCTGCTGCTGTTGTCGTTGCTGCGATTCCTCGCCGCCGACTACGGTCTGCTCCGAGCGGGGGACGTTTCTCCAGCGCTGCCGGAACTCGTCCGGGTCGATCGCTAAGCCCGACAAGAACGCCGCTACCGTTACCACGGGAAGGGCCACCCTGGTCGCCGAGAAGGGCCGATCGCTTGTAGTCAGCACGATCTCTGGGGGAGAGGAGAACGCTCGAAAGCACGTCACCGAGAGCTCTTGCCGCAGCTCTCGTGATCCCTCGCTCTCTTTGCTGCCTACGCCGTCAAGCTCGACGGAGGTCATGCCCGGGCGGAAAGAAATTTCTAGCGCCGAAGAAGTCGAGGAGGCGTTATCGGCATCCCTGGGAAACGTGACGGAGAGCCTCGTCCTGGGGGGGACTTGAAGCTCGTACCTTAGCGCGATGGAGCAGGTTCTGCCGAGATTTACGCATTCTTCCAAGACCACGCGCATCGAAGAGCCGTTGTCGAAAAGCACCTGCAGGGTTGTGCACAACACAACAAAGGACACGTGTAGCGGAGCGAGTAAAAAAACATGCACGACAGTGTAGGTAGGTCCACAAGGAATGGATGAACAACCGCCTCCGCCTGACATCAGTCCATCTTTGTTCAATCGATACTCAAGCTTTTGGCCCATTCTCCGAAGGCTTCCCATGTAGTCGGGGAGCCTATAATAGTTAGACACGAAGCAATGCCACGCAACGTGGTCCATACGGACTCTTTCACGAGCTGGAGCTGCATCGACTAGTCGAGAATCTTTGAACCTTTCCGGGAGATGGTGGCTCCTCCGCTGCAGACTCCAACAGCTGCGAGCTTCCCGGCCTCCCGAAGGGGTTGAACTCCTCCGGCCTCTGGTTCGAATCCGCCTCGCCCAAAAAGGTCACAGGCGGAGAGTTCAAGACACCCGATGGCTGCTGCAACCAATCCAGCTGTGAGTCGTCGGCGGGTGTCGGTGTATCCGACCCGGAGGGCGGGGGGGGCTCCGCCGAATTGTCTCGAAAGGCCAAGTTCAAGTCCGTCTCTTCTTGAGTGGGCGGCGGCGAAGGCGGTATCTTGGTTCTGTCTCGAAAGGCAGATAAGAACAGGTCGGCTTGTTCCTCCGCGGGAGATGGCGCAGGCATCGCGTCCGTCGAGTCCCAGAGGCCGGACAACAAGTCCGCCGGCGCCTGCGCCGCGCTTGGCGACGGTGGTCCCGTCGAGCCTCGAAACAGAAAGGATGAGTCCATCGGATTCTTGGACGGGGGAATCGGAAGCGGCGTCACGGGTGGAGTTGGGGTCGGAGAAGAAGCTAAACGTTCGGTGCCAAACGCGAGCAACGGTGTCGGCGGAAGACACTTATCTACAGTTGCTGTACCCTTTGCTGCGGCCGGCGCCGCCGCTGGGGGTGGGGCCACCCTGGGCGACCTGAGAGTTTGGGGCGTCGAGGACAAGCCTGTTGGATCTGCAGGCCTTTCAGACGACGCGTCACTCCAAGTTGATGGGGACTGATCTCGTGCCAGGCCCAACTCTTGTATTCGCGGTGGACCTCGCGGGGTGGTGAGCAGCAACTGATCGAGGCTGGGAGGAGTTGCACCGTCGAAGGCGGTGGGCCACGCGGCCCCTCGGGTGGTGGTGGTGGTGGTGGTGGTGGTGGTGGTGGTGGGCGTCGCACCAGTGGGCAACGGGGCAGCAGCGTTGGTGATCCCGGCGGCGGTGGCGGTGGCTGGGACAATTTGTCCTGCCGGGAAAAGCTTTTCTATGCTGGAGGAATGGGATGCCGAGCTTGGACGTGCCGGGAAAAGGTCCTCGCATAGTCCTGGGGACTGGGAACCCGAGATGTCGGTGGCCGAAGCGGCTGCAGCCGCGGTGGCGAACCGCGTGTCAGAGGGCCGGAGCTCCGCCGCTACAAGTTCGTTGCCCTTCTCCTCGACGGAACCTCTTGGACCACGCGACGTCACGGCTAACGAGTCTTTACCTTCGTCGCAGAACGGAAAATCGAACGGGTTCTTGTTCCCATTCGAGACCGTCGAGGCCGATCTACTTGTGCTGGGAGCCTCGAGGCTGGAGTCAAGCTCCCCGCTTCCGGCGTGTCCTATCCGCACCTGTGCCGCCTCTCCATCGCGTTCCTCATCGCTGGAAGAGTCGAATGGATTAATGCCACCGCCACCGTCAGAGGCTCGCCGACCTGGAGCGGTCGGGGTAAGGGTAGCATCTCCCACCCAAACCTCGGGGTCCGTGGCCAGGTTCATCGAGGGAATGCGGTGCAACCCTTCGGCGGTGCTGGTAGGGGTTCGTGCTCCGTCCGACAACACGCCTCCGTCATCGATGAGCTCCTCCGACGATGTTCGGGCAACAATCGCCGTGCAGGTACTCGTGGTGTCGCCAGAAGTGCTCGTGACCGTCATGTTGTCTTGGCGCTCGAGGCGAAGGTGCATCAGCGACATGAACTTCTCCACCTGGCACATGTTGGAGGCAGGGGGGGTTAGGAGAGCACGGGGGAGCAAGCAACGAAAACTGTCGGTATAGGGATCTCTATACAACCAACAGCAAGCAGGTATAACGTAATCATGCAGGAACGTCTACCAGTTGCGTCGTTGCAGCCAAGGGTGTGAGTACAAGCGATCGTTTCCAAATTTTGCCTCGTGGATGGTCATGGGTGTCAAGCATAGGCGTTCGAGGACGTCGACACCTTGACATGGAAGACACCTTCGAGGATATCCGTTGTCGAAGACACAATCAGTTTAAGTATGTCACTAGTTGCTCTGTTGGGCCTCTTACCTACCTGGTGCTCGATCGCCAAAGCCAGACGCTTGGCATTTGGCGTAACAAGCAACATGTCCTGCGCAGAGCGCGCGGGGGGGGGGGGGGGGNGGGGGGGGGGGGGGGGGGGGGGGGGGGGGGGGGGGGGGGGGGGGGGGGGTAGTTTTCAGGAAAGGATGTCGAAAGTGGCCGGTCGATTCCACAAGCTCTTCTTAAAGTCTTGAGTCGGGTTCAAGCCACCCGCACAAAGCACTGCAATCCTAGGATCCCGAGCCACGTCTACGACACTTACACCGTCCCTGCGTTCATCCCATCCTTTCGACGCTGACAATCAAACAAAACATGACGAGGACAACGATCTGGCAGAAGTCGACCCACTCCCCAACCTCTCTCTCCTTGAACTGGTCGTCGATAAAGCACTGCAAAGCCAGGGCGCGGGTGCCGTCCTGAAGCAGCACGATCGTCCACTTGTAGAAGTCCGTGAAGCTCCAGAACCTGACGTTGTCGGCGTAGCTTGCGCTGGAGGAGCCCCTCTTCTTCGGGTGCGTGGCCAGCGCGGCCAGCGACGTCGCCGCCGCCTCCGAGAAGCCGAACCTCAGCTCCATGCCCATGCTGCCCAGGTGCACCGTGCCGGCGTTCTCGGGGCCGTACTGGCCCCCTTGCCTGACCCAGTGAGCCTTGACCTCGAACATGATCTCGCCGTCGTCGACCACGGCCACGTCCTCGTCCACTGCCACCGAGATCATGCGCAGCCACTCCAGGACGGCCGTTCGGGATTCGGCCGCCAGGGTCCACTGCCGCTGCGTCGTAACGACGGTGAACGCGTTGGCGGGCAGCTCAACCGCGGGAAGCTTTTGCCTGCCGATCTCCGGGCGCAGGAAACACACCTTGCAGAGGTCCACGAGCTGGCGCTCCCTCCGGGCCTCGTCGTACAGCGGCACCTCGCTCACGTCGTTGTAGTACGCGAGAAAGTGCCCCTGCGGGGTGTCGTAGAGGACGAAGTAGCGCCAGATCCAGCGCTTGATCGCCCCGCCGCCCCTCTTCCGCAGCCACCCCTGGTGCACCACGACGCGCTCCCACTGGGGCCGCGCGCCGCCGTTGTACCTAAGCGTACGCTTCTTCTCCACGCCCAGGAGCGCCCGCGGGCTAGGCAAGAGGTTGAGCTGCCCGCGCTTCGCCGACGGCTGGACCACCTGGCCGACGCGCACCTCCACCCCGTCGAGGTCGACCGGATCGACTCGGCCGGTGGGGACGGCCGGCGCTTGCACCTCCCCGCGCAGGGTGACCATCGACGCCACGCACCGCCCGTGCGTCGAGCCGGCCTTAGGGGGCAGCCGAAGCTCCGCCCTCCTCGCGTTCCAGAAGTACTCCATGCTGTTGCGGGCGAGGGCGAGGTCTTCGTCCGGAATGCCGAGGAACACGCGGCGACAAGGACGCCCCCCCCGGCCAAGGCGTGGGTTGCTCTCCTCTCGCCAGACGGTCACTACCTGGGCCTCCGTCTCGATTTCTCTACGTACTTTCGCCTGGTAGGTGCCGGCGTCGCCACGACCGTGATCGTCGTCGTGGTCTTCGTCGTCCTCCTGCCCTTCTCCTTCCTTTGGCAGGATTACCCAGAGCACGATTCCGCTGGGCAGCCTCGGCCCCATCCCTGGCACGACGGAGAGAGACCAGTCGTCGATCTCGTCGTACGAGAAGGTTGCGTTTTTTCCGCAGTCGGTCCTCAGCTGCACCTCGACGGAGGCGAAGCTCAGCACCAAGTCTCCGAACGTCGAGCGGTATTGCGCGTCGGCTATCCTGCTGGTCGATGATAGGGTAAGGCCTTCCAACGCCGACAACGAAAAGCGATTTTCTCCGAGAAAAACCGCGTCCATGGCATGCTTCGGACGCAGGGAACAGAGTTGTGGTCGGCTGATCCCCTCGTGCTCCTCGAAGGACCACCTGCGCATTTCCTGGGACAGCAGCAGCAGCGAGGTCAAGTGGAGGAGAAAATAATCGCAGCTCGGCAAATCACCCATCACGTGTCCAACAGCACTGATATTTACTTTTCTACCCCCGTGTATTCCGGAACTCTTCGCTCGAGAATTCGTTTATTTGTGGACACGTCTTCCAAGCGCAAACCGGTCACAAATTGTACTATATTCCGCGCCAACTGCTGCTGTTTGTGCTGTGAATATGATGCGTTCATTTTCTTTTTTGCGTGTACTACTGTAGTCAGTGCAGTTGACACAAAACCACGTTGTGCCTGAGATGGAACGGAGAAGAATGGAAAGCTTCCCCTGTGCACTGAGCGCAATGGTTCATGTGCAGCAATCAGTGTCATGGGTTGCTCAGATCCACAATCCGTGGGCTGCAGGTTGATTCTTTCATGTGGGTTCTCGATAGGATCATGAACTCTTCTTGGAAAACATGCACATGTAGACTAAGTGTACAGTACGCGTAACGTTGTACCTGTAGCGTGGGGAGTTTACCCTCCGGTACGGTGAAGGAGAGGTTTGGGCGCTTGCGCTGAAAAGGTTTCGGCTTGGTGAACCCCGCGAACATGCCGAGATACACGGAAGTAGGCGCTGCTTGGGGTTCCCGGCCGGCGTTCCTCGCGTGCGCCGCCTCTGACCGTGCCCGCTGCTTTAGCTCATCTTCCAGGTCAATCGAGTTTTCAACGCGAACCGAGATGAAAACGTTGTCCGACGGGGGGTTAAAATCTGCTGGGCCGTCCCCCTCCCCTCGGTCCTTCGTCAATCCCTCGGCAACCTTGTGAGGTGCTTCCTCGAAGTCGACTTTAAGGCTCGAAGCTGCATGATCCCAGGTCAGCACTCGAATGGCCCCGTAGGGGATACTCAGCAAGTTTTGCTCTACGACCCCGACTGCCTCCTTCAACAAGAGTTCCGTCTTCATCATGTGCACCGTCATGAGCCGGCCTTTAAGGGGCTCGTGTATATTCTCCTTCGATCCCCGCCGCCTCGTTTCGGGCGGCCCTGTTGAAGAGGTGTATCCTGGCAGCGGCTGTGGCAAAAGGTTATCCGTACAGTCCTCGCAGGACGCGGCAAAGCAGTGCTCGAAGTCCGAGATTCCATCGACGTCGCCATCATCCCCAATGCTTTCACGGTCACCCACGACTATATTCCCCATGACTCAAGGCTCGCTTCGCAGCAGCAAGCGCAGCAGCAGATGCGTGGAACAGGAGTGTACCAATTCTTGTGAGGAATCCACCTGCTTTGTTTTTCGGCAAGATATTGTGAGACGATCTTTGGCACGGGTCTTTTTTTCCTTGTGTCCCTTCACGTTTTTAGCCGTTACAAGCTGCAGGAAGCCAGGAAGCCCGGGGAGTTATTTTTTGTATACAACACGTAGTACGAAACGCGAGGATTGACCAAACACATGCGTATGGGTGTGAATGGATCCATTGCAAAATTATCCTGGGTTCTATCAGTGGATATGGATGAATTCGTTGTGTTTTCGTGAGAAAAAAATGGAGCGTGCAAGACGTGACCCCCGATAGTTTGTAAAATCTAAATTTGTCCAGTATGGCAATAATTTCTGTCTGCCCCAGCAGAGAGTTTCTGGAGAAGGCGAGAAAACTAAGATATGGACACCTCTCCCTTCTCCCCCCATCCAACACACATGTCACATAGATACAAGGTGGTAGTTTAGGTGTTGTTCACAGATTAATACATACATTCCGATCTCTGCTCCGTGCCTTCAGTATTCGAATGAATGTGTGTTCCTCAGACGAGGACGCACGTAATGAATGGCAGGCAGCTAGCTGCCCCCAACTTCAGTTAGGTGTCATTTGGTTGCCCCCATGAGGATTATCGCATGTGTGAATAAATATAAATGGAGAAATATTTAGAGTAGCTCGTCGTTTGAAGATGGTGTCGAGTACCAAACGTTACGACGACAGCAAACAGTGCTTGATTCCCTTCCGACTACACTGCTGTAACAATACGCGCTTCACCTAGTTGATGTTCCCAACACGTACTACGTGCACCACAACCACCATTTTTACTTCGTAATACCCTTCATGTAACGAAACAACATATACCTACGAGAAGTCTCCACTACAGTGCCTTCTCGGCGACGAGCATTTGGCGTCGTATGTTGCCGGGCAATTCAACGTACGCGGGAAAAAACACAGCGAGCGGCGGAGGAGGCGAATCCCTCACCAGGTAGTGAAATTGGAGAAAGAGTCCAGGGTCTATACACTGTAATAGTCGAAACATACTTTAATACTCCACCACTGAGATTCAGGGGATCGTGCCCAGTCGAATATCTACATAGATCCGAAAACAAATTTTGGTTCACCCGTAGAATGTGGACGTGATTACTTCGACCCCAAAACCAATTGTGTCCACATCACAAGTATTGCACGTATACAGGAAGAAGTTCGCACGCCAGCTGGATCTCCGGAAAGTTCAAAGAAATTTCTGCTTCGGCTGGCCGGTTGGGGTCCTTGGTTGCGCCCTCCGCCTGGCAGCTCTCGCCCATGACTTTACCGCAGCAGAGAGGCCGACCAATGCCTTCCTGCCCGGGGTGGGCTGCTCCTATCTTGCATTCGGGGTCATTATGAGGCCATTGCAACACTGCCCTTGTGCACCTTTTTTGCCAATCAATCAAGGCCGGCAAGGAAGGGTTGTGGCAGAGGTGGTTGGTGCAAAGGGCCGGCGAACAATTATTCTTTCGGAAGGGATAAACACCTACAACGCGACATGCACGCATGAGAGCTTATCGCACCAACACGCATGCTAGGCATAACTTTTTCAACACAGCGGCACTGTACCCCGCGCGCTCTCGCTACACATTTTTGGCCTTTGGTTTCCGGTTGGTGAAGTGCGTGCAGTAAGGAAAGCGTCATATGAACTCCAATACGACCGCATCAACGAATGCACGGGAGCGTCACTGAATGGAAATAACGAAACTGATAGGCATCCACGACTCACGCGAGGTCTTGATCGGTTTGTCTCGCTGCTTGTACCCATGTAAGGTGTCGTTTGCACACCACGAGACGCTGTTCAAGACTATAGCATTGCAAACTAACTTGCAACAAATTCTTACTACTCGAGCTGCTATCTGTCGAGGTGGCAACAACCGTACGTGTGTCTCACCGTGATCAAGCCCATCGCCCGAAGAGTGTTGAGGACGCAGTCACCCGTCAGGCCGAACACCTGACAAGTACGAAAACAACAAGAACAGCAAACAAACCCAACACCACGTGGATTGGTGCCATGTGTCGCCGGGTTGATCCGTAAAGGCTGCAACACTGAACATCATTAGCAGATGGATGCCGGATTACATGCATGTAGGGTGCGATTTTGCTCTTTTTTGGGATATTTTTTTATTTTCAGTTTTTGGGGACGCCTCGTTCTGCATGAAGGCTACAACATCGACCGCCCAACGAACATGGCCCACCCTTAGATGTTCACTGATATAGAGATGTTTGCTGTTTTTTGTTTTGGGTATTTGGTGGTTTTTGGTTTTTGGTTTTTGGTTTTGGGGTTTTTGGTTATAAAGACCAAAGGAAAAAAGCAAGGGAAAAAAGCAGAGGAAGAAATCCATCAAAGATGTCAGCGGTTAACACAGCAGCGACGACTTTTAGGAGCTCTTGTCCACCCTCAACGTCTGATCTCATCCTCTTTGTATCTGCTATCCCAAACGGTTAAGCAGCGAACATCAAAACGAACAAAAAAAAAGTCAAGACAAACAACCAACCCATCGACACAAGTCAATCCGAAGCGTGTTGCCCATGGTGCGTGTGCCCTCGGAAGAAAGTCTTGTCGCAAAAAGGCAGTGTGCGTAGTCGGCCGCACCTTCAGACCCGCAGCATCCAGCTCTTTCTTGGTGATGGGGGCGGGTTTGCAGCCGGGCCTGGCAAAAATCCACAAGTGTTCAACTGCACGTTAGGCGAAGCATCTTGGACCACATAAACGACAGCATACCTCAAGACAGTCAACCAGGGCACTCGATGGCACTGCGAACGAACAAACATGCCAGGAGCGGCCTAGAGAGGTGATAGGAATCCCTGCCTCTGTCTTATCTCTTTATCTTTCTATCTTTGCACTCCCCCTGGCGGGATAAACGACCACCTGCAAGGGAACGTACAGGCAGAGAGAGAGAGAGAGAGAGAGAGAGAGAGAGAGAGAGAGAGAGAGAGAGAGAGGGCGGTGCTTGTTTTGCCTTGCGTTGGGGGGAGGTGGGGTGTAGGATCGCAAGCGCCCCCAGCCACGTGAGCGCCTGCTGACCACCAATACACGGTGCGTCACCATGATACTAAACAACCAACCCTCGGGAGACAGCATTTGCGCTGTATTTACGTCTTCGTGATTCCCTGATATTATACTTCGTTTACCTGCCACGACTCTTTTTCGCCTCGAAATCTTCGCGAACCTTGGCGTACACCTGTTTTTGTCGTGTCGTCGTATCCGTTTGGCCACAAGACCACAAGAAGTCGTCACACAAGGCAGCGGCGGAGATTTCAGAATAAGATTTCAGTCAGCATGCCAATCATGTTTTGACAATTTTTCGACGAGACGCTCGAGAAAATCATCCGACGACTTTTCTCATGTCTATAACAGTACAATACCACCGACCACTATGGTGACGACTAAGTTAATTCCAGTCGTATTCCAAGAGCAACGTCTGGGAGAGAGACAGGGAGAGGGAAAAGGAGAGAGCAAGAGGGAGAGAGGGGGAGGGGAGGGGGCGAGAGAGAGAGATACAAGTACTGAGGGTGAGAGCGAACGACAGGGATAACCGACCAAACCCAGATCGCAAACCACAACGGACTAACAACGTTTCAAAAAAGTCACCGGAAGGCACAAGACAAGATGAGAACCAACGTCACCTTGCGTACGTCTTGCAGCTTGGACCGCCCCCGGGTGTTAGCGTGGATCGCCAGAAAGTCTTCCTCGAAACTGACAAACACGAAATGCACATGCAAGGACTCGGGAGGTTAGTTGAAGCTTCCAGGAAGAAGGTCACCACTCTTGTTGGACACGGGAGACAAGTGTACGCAAATTAACGAATCCTCCCATCCGCGACGCTACACGAGGGCTACAGCAAAGTAGGGAAGGACGAGTGGAAGTCCCACGTGGACTACGCGCAGGCGGTTAAAGTGGCATGTCCATATTCAAATCTGGTTTGACAAGCACGAGGTCGTCTGGAGTCGATGGCAAGGAAGAATCTTATCTTACGGGGGTTCTAGACCCCTCATGGTGCCCTGATAGCAACACGCCATGGCCATAGATTCCTGCCAACCGGTGTCTCAGGCGACGGGCGGATGTGGTGCTTATTTACACCATCATTTTGCGCTTCGGCAATACCACCACACTATGCGGGGGAAAACAACGGAACGGCTTTCTCGTCATCGTGCTTCACAACGCTTCATCACCAAGAAACAACACTGAATTCAATCTACGGCGGCGGTAGCCTTGGCACGATACCGCCAAAAAATAGATGGACTATGCTGCAGGCGCTCTTGCAAACAACAGCACACGGAGAGAACACTGCAAAAACAAAGGTCAATGCTCACATCACCGAGGGCGATTGCTCGACGACCCTCTCCTCCAAGCGGCTCGCCGACAACTCCGGATTGCCCGAGTGCAGCACTGAAATCGCAACAAGATCGAAGAATCAGTACATGCCTGTGATGCAAGGGATTGTGGTCCACAACAGATAAGAAGAGGTCCGACAAAAAATGACGCCAATGACCCCCAACACATTGACTGTCAACCACGGTAGTTTATACAGCTAAAGACACAAATAACCCGAGTCCGATTCCCGAGAAACACGCTATCTCCTGCTGTTCGGGTTTCTTCTCACGACAATCAAGAGCGATACGAGCGCGTTAATACGAGGAAACATAAACTGTTGTGGTTCATTGCGTAAACAGGCTGATCTAACAGCGGCGTCTACACCCTGTCTGCAGAAGTGACAACATCCGCACTGAGATCGAGACTTCACCAGCTCACCCTCAGCGAACACTCAAGCCAGCAAGACCAGTCGTTGGGTTGATCACGAGTCGTGTTTGTAGCAGAAAAAATAAAATGCATGCATAGTAGTGTAGAAAAAAAGGAGGCACATGGGGCACCACTTGCTGCCGAACATACCAGTCGAAGCTTGAGAAGCGTCCTCCTCAACCGCGGATCCCACCCCCTCCCCCTCGTCGCCACCCAAAAAAAAGCTCTCGGGGACGGCACCGGTATCTCGTGGCGCTGCCGCGGAGAAGAACATCGCGCGTTACAGCTGTTAGAGAGAGGGAGAGGTTGCATATAGTCGGATGCTATGCATGCGAGTGGTGGAAGAAACGTGAGAAGCAACAATGTTTCAATCTATTCCCTCGAGCACGAATGACGGCCTTCAGCAGCCAACCGCCCCTTGCTTCCGGGTCGAAACACAAAACTGTTCCACCGAAAACCACTCTTCAAGCCAGAGGCCCCAAAATACGAGGTGGAATCTTATAATTTTTCACCCGTCCCTCTCGTCCCTTAAAAAAGTGTGCACGGTGTTCGAATATGTGCTCATATCCCGTTCGAGACTGTGAGCACAGCAAGCACGCGCAAACACCGGCGGGAGACAGAGGTTTCGGTTTCCGTGCGGTGGGCTAAGGGCAGAGGGAGGAGATCGTGCCACCAGCGTGATGCCGCTTCATCACTTACCGGACAAGAAACTTTCAACGTCGGTCGCCGTCGCGACCCACTCGGGATCTGGCCGAGACAGTAGCAGCGGAACAAGAGGTCCAAAGCAGCATGGGGTGTGTGTTATGGGCGCTACAAGTGGTTGCTGTTTCAGCCAGTGCCTCCAAAACCCACGCGACCAAAAACAGAAGCCGTTTGATGCAGAACCACTATTTGCCGTAAGCAGGCGACACAGAAACTACCAAAACAACGTCGAATGTGGAGCGAAAGCATATCTCCAACACGCAGCAGGACTACGGGATGACCGATCGCTAGGTCAGTTGCCCATCTCAGGGCACATCCCGAAGGATTGATCCGCGGGAAAATCCAGCGGCGTGCGCGGCAGGAAACGAACAGGGTAGTCCCTAGTCCACAACAAGCTGGGGCAACAGCACCAACGTAACCACGACAACACCGACATTAACAAAACAACGGGACATGACTGCCGTGGATGGTCCGAGTGCGCCATCATACCTGGTGCAACGCCGAGGCGCGCGTAGAGCCCCACCATGACGTTGTAGTTTTCGATCAAAGCCGTGTTTAAGGCAATCTCTGTCTCCTGCACAGGCGAAGTGGAAGCAAGACAAAAAGGAAAACAACAAGGTGGCAGTTCGCTCGGGGTACCCGCGGGTGCTATATACAAAGGCAACGGTTACGACCCCCATTCTCTCGCGCGGGGCAGTGGGCTTCGATCTTTTGAACACACAAAGGCCATGTACGGTCACAGGCCCGCTATAGTGCGGTCGTGTGCCAGCCCGATTCCCTCCCGCTTTTGGGAACAGCAAGAAACACAGGCTCGAGTAACGTCGCGGAGACAGAGCAACCCCAAGCGGGTTCCAAAGGCAATATAGCGGCCGCCTGCACTCTTTCTGACAGAAGAAAATGTTCCGCGTGGCGTACTGCCAAGCAAGATCCATGGACAGAGTGTATCCTGACCTCTCTCTCCGCCTGTACTTCCGTGGCATCTTTGGCAAGCCCAGGCAGCTCCGCCTTGATCGCTCGGATGCGGTGGTGGAGCGTGTGCAGGTCGGGAATGGAGACGTTGGCTCTGTTGGAACAAAATCACGGCCGTGTAGGTGTGAGCGTTGCTCCTGAGGTTGACTCTAATTGGAACCACGTTCGCGATCCATGGCTAAACGAATAGTTGAGTAGCGTGGTATACGAGTATGATAAATATACTTTAAAACTTCAATCGATCAGATTTTTAAAAGAATTCGGCGTTTCACTACCCCACATACCCCGCCTTCAGGTACTACTGTCGGAGTAAAAACAACAGCAACACCCGCAAGAGCAACTACTAGCTGTAACAAACGGAGCACTTGACAGGGAAGGAAAGTGCAGTTTTCGTTTGCGTGGCGGCGGCATGATCTCCCGGCAGTTATCCTCCACATCGGTGATTGATTCATACAGCTTCAGCAGTATCTCTATTTGGCATCTGAATTCCCCCCGAAAAAGTGTCGAAAACACGCAGACGTTTGTTCGCCCAAACCTACAACTACAGCTGTACAGCAGTAGTTGTCTTTGAACAGGTCTAGGTCTGTGTAAGTGTGTTTCATGGACTCGCTTTGAACACAGGACATTGTTATCCTGGAAGCATTCACCGCACAGACCTTGACTTCTACGACAAATTATGACATCCCACGTCAACACGCTATATTACAGGTAGACGTATCAACGCTGCCGTGGACCATCAACCTTACTGATGAGCGACACAGGACAAATCAAGCACGATGTCAAACTACGCAACAGTTTTACCTCGTCGCATCCTTCATCCTGGAGTCCAGCTGGTGACTGGCAAACTCTAGATCATTTAGCGCGAGATCGAAATTAATCTCAAGCTGCTTGAGAATGTCGGTGCTTTCCAACGCCACCATTGCTGCCTGCCAGCGATATGTTGGTATACCCTGCCTGATGTGAGCTCTTCCGGAGCAATGCGATGGAATGGGTCCAACGGTATCTCCGTAGATGTGGGTTCCGCGAAAAGGTCGTGGTACTGCTGTGCCCCAAAAAGAGTACATTCTGCGGCCTCCCCTGCCCCGGCGGCGGTGGCGCTGGTCCAGCAAGTGCGACAGTGGGAAAGACCAGGGAGCGGACGCAAAGCAACGAACATATTTCCGCAATCGCCCAGAATTCGCAGTGATGTCGAGCGCCTCGAGATACTTCAAGACGACCCCGTCGGACAGCCGGTTTCCCACGGTGAACCAGGCCAACCACTGCTGGTGAGAGACGAAGCGCCGGTGCACCGACTTGTCAACGAGTGAAACGTCCCCTGTCTCTGAGATGAAACATTCGGCACCCTCTCTACCATGGTGGCACGTGACTCTCTCCCACCCTCGTGGCTGGCATGTGTGTTTGCCGTTTGTTTTCTTCCACAAGACGTAGCCGCAAGCAGTGTTCAACGCACTCCCCGATGTTCGTGTGCATCACTGCTGTGCAGCACCATCATCACGGCGAGTAGACCCGAACTGCCGTGCAGTCGGGAGACCTGGTTGTTGTCATCATCTGTATGCGGGTGTGTGGAGAAACAATTACACTTGCTTGGGGTAGCGTACAGCGGATCGGTGAAAGGAAGTAGACTTGTGTTGCGTTCAATTTGTTCTGGATGAGTTTCGTTATTCACGATGAATATGCCTTTTCGCATCTGCGCTACGTACATGCCGGTCGCCCCGGTAGTGTAGAGGGTAGCCTCACAGCCTGCAAGGGCCAGGTCATGGGTTCGAGTCTCGGTAGAGTGAATTTTTGTTCACTAATGAATCCTGGTCTAGGATGAAAGCGACGCGTTGCAAAGCTCGTTGTTAGTAAACCATAATCGACTTCGTAAGTCGCGAGGGAGGGGATTGCTGTAGTCTTCTCGCGATAAAAAAACCTCAGGCAGGAACCGCAGGAGGGGGTCCAGCCCCCCCCTCCTATGTGACCCCGGTTGGGTCGTCTAGCTGGTAGAAGTGGAGGATAGGGGCCAGAGGAGCAGACGACAGAATCCAATGATGAGAGAAAAAAAAAAAAATGTAGCAGCTGCGTTGTATGTTGTATCCATAGATTATGTTGTCTTGTATGTACTCTGAAGTTGTGCGAGTTGCCATGCAACCCAACCATCCTGGTGTGCTGTACATGCATGCCTCCATGCTGTGCATATGCACATGTTTCGATGCATCTCAGGAACTCTCCCAATTATAGGGTTCTCGGATGGTTCTGCCGCAACGAAACAACGTCGCTATGAAGCCCATGTTTTTGTTTGTCGGTGTTTCTGCCCCGTCGAGGCCCATCCAAGCAGGGAAGACATGAATGTGGTGACATCGGCCGTGACATGACGCACCTACAGAGAGAAAATGCTTTGTCGGCCTTATATGCATACTGCAGCTTGAAACGCGGCCATCAAGGAAAGCATTCACACATGTTGTACACGCAGAGAACAGAGTGTACAACCGCCGAGAATATTTGACCACTCAGCTACCGCAGCAGTGTCGACCAAGTCTCTCACGTGGTGAGTCTCTGCCTGTGTGGGACAATCGCCCACGTGTTGGACGAGATATTCCGATGGTGTAATAAATTTCATTACCTAAGACAAAGGCTCCCCTCCCATACAAGGGGTCCAACAAAAAAAAATGAATTACTTCGCGCGAAGCGCGAAAAGAAGGGTCGGAGAGAGCATCAAAGCAAGCGTAGATCGATATGGATGGAGCTTACACCACCACGTAGGTCACCAGTGCGCACGCTCACACCTCACCCGATACCACCAGTCAGTCAGGGGATGAGTGGGAGCGCTGTTTAGCTCCCGTCATCATCAGCTCAGCGGCAGCAGTGCTGCTGCTGCTGCTGCTTGCTGTTGCTGCCGCTTCTGCTGCTGTGCATGGGTGTGCACTTGCTTTCTTCGCTTTCGCTACTAGCAGAGGGCAACGGGCTCTAAAAATTGGCCCGAACCCCGCCCACGACGTGTGTATTTGGCCGCCCTTGGCTTACAGCGCTGTGTACGTCTCACTTGTCTCTGTTTCCGGGGTGCGTCTGTTGTGGAAGCAAAGATCGGCCGGCAGACGAACAGACCGCAGACATAGATCTGACTTGTGTGCACTCGCATGTTGCCTCGCTTACGCTGCTAGCAGAAGGTCTCGGGGTCTAAAAATAGCTTCCGACGCCAGCCATGATGTGTGCCTTTGGCCGGCCTTGGCCCACAGCAGTGTGTAGGCCTCGTTTTCTCTGTTCGTTCCGGGGATGCGTCTGTGCGGGAAGCTCCAAAGATTGGTAGGTTGAGGGTGATGCAGACCGACCGCGGATTGACTTTCGTCGTCACTCGCTTGTGCTGCCGACAGCAGGCAACGGACTGCAACAGTCATACCCAACGCCTCCCGTGATGTGTGCCTTTGGCTGCCCTTGGCCTACAGCAGTCCGAATACTGCTGTGCTGGTCGTATCGTACGTTGTCTACGTGAATGTGTATCGTGCTGCTGTGCAAGAGGATTTCGGTGATGCTGCCGAGAGCGCCGTGCCCATCACCCAATCATCTGTCTCTGTCTTACAAAATGCCTTTCAAACTCGACGGGTGATTGGTGGGAGATGGGCATCTACCCGGCTCTACCCCTCTAAAAACCTAGATAGTTGTTGGAAGTTTTTCCGTGTCTTACAAACAACTTGCTCTATTTATGCGTGCTCTGCCGAGACAAAGGCAAACTTACCATCTTCAACTCATCCCTCCAGCAAGACATTTAACCCCTGATATCAATGACGAACAGCGGGAGCAAAGATGTTGGCAATCCTGACGAGCAGGGGGAGCTCCATCAAACCCTTTACAACGCTAATGCCCATGACGAGCAGCAGGAGACAATCCTGATACCCATGACGAGCAGCGGGAGCTCCAGCAAGAACAATCCTGATACCCATGGCGAGCAGTGGGAGCTACAGCAAAACGTGCTCGTCATGAAAATGAGGGTTGTAAAGCAACGTTGCAATGGTGTTGCCGGAGCTCCCGCTGCTTGCCATGGATGTCAGGGTTGCCAACGTCTTGCTGGAGGGGTCGCAATTTCGATCTTGTCTCAAGTACTGAAACCGATGACATGACAGGAAAAATGTCGTCTAGTGCATGGGCGGTCGTACCACTCAGGCAGACCCACTGTGGGACAGACTTGGTCGACACTCGTGCAGCTGAGGGGTAGGACTTGAGTTGAGGCTGGGGTGTAGCCCCGGCTTGTTACGATACTCTTGACTGACATTGAGTATGCCAACACAGACGACTGTCTCCGCGCAGTTTGCAACACGTCGTGTCTACCGTACCAACAGTTTATTATCGTTGTTGCCGATAAGTTTTGCAGGCCAAAGTTCTGACACTGTTCTTCAGCCGATGCGCCTCCGTGACGGGTCTAGCCGCCTCTGAGCACACCAATTAACTCGCGCACAATCACGGTTATGGTAAAATCTCGTGTGTTGCGTTGGCTTCCACAACCTGCTACGCAATTTCCTCAGGAACCTGTACAACGAATGGGTACTCTGCACCAAGAAGGCGGAAGAGGCGGGAGATGACGCCGAGAAGTGCTACCACAAGAGGCGCAACGCACTCGCCCTCTGCCCAGACGAATGGGTGAGTTTCTTTTCGATTCTCCTCCTTCGCCCTCCGGGTATTTTTCGATAAAAATGGGCGTTTTCTGATGTTTTATCGCGTTGTTACTTCATTGCTGCTGGAAGAAGTACACATAACGTCAAGAGAGGACCGCGTATTCCATCCAGCGAGACGGGGCGCACGGCCGGGGGGGAGGGGTGGGGGGAGGGAGCGTTTTCAAGTTTTGCATGCCTTAGCGGTTAGGCCGTTGACATCGCACCCTGGACAGGACAGAGCAAGGGAGGGGTATGATTTGAAGCCGTTCCAGCAAGTTATGGGCCCCAAGAAACGGCTGGCCACACAAGCGGAAGCTTAAGCATTTTACTTCGACATGTGACCGGAGTAGTGATTTTGGAGGAAAAACAAATCTGTCTTTTGAAGGCAGGTGCAACAGCAAGCACGGCTGGAACACGGAAGAAACCGACCAGGATTATATGCACCCCTTACAATGGTTGTGACGTTGAGAACGAATGACTTGATATTGATGTGTGTTGTCCAAGACGGTCCAAGAGCAGGATCATATGCACCCCTTACAATGGTTGTGACGTTGAGAACGAATGACTTGATATTGATGTGTGTTGTCCAAGACGGTCCAAGAGCAGGATCATATGCACCCCTTACAATGGTTGTGACGTTGAGAACGAATGACTTGATATTGATGTGTGTCCAAGACGGTCCAAGAGCCCTACTCAAATTGACTCGAAGCGCGGCGGTGGGGCCTTGCTACCTTGGCACGCGCCCTCTCTTCGAGCTGCTGGGGTACCGGCCGGCGGCAGTCACTAAATAATGGTGTTTCGTTCATTGTATATCCTGCTCGGTTGTTCACCATGCTATGCATTCATAATTTTTTATCCGGCTTCGTCACTCAGGATTCCTTTGCCCCTCTGCACGTCCCCCCTCCTTTCCATCGCGGTTTTGTGCTTTTCGGTTGCAAAAATTGCAGACGGAGAAGTGGGACGAGGACCGGGAAGAAGGAACGTACGCCGGCATCAAATAGGCTTGACGCACCGCACCGATGTGATGTAGCCTGACGAGCCGTTTGGTGGTTTGGTGTTGATGGTCTGTCAGCGAGAACGTACGGACATCGTGAACAACGTCACCGAAGGAAAAAGAAGGGCCAATGCCGTGGAGGGTGGGCGGCAGGAACAGAGAAAATCGGAGGGAGGGGGTGTGTGCGCTCTTTATTCGTCTTTCGTTTTTGTTCACGGGGAGGATGATGGGGCGTGCGGTTGCTTTTTCACACAACTGCTGGTTTGTTATTTAGCCTGGCGGGTCGAAGTTGCAGTATGGCCGTTTAGGAGAGGAGGCTCGACAGCGCGGGGTCGGTAGGGTGGGGCGTACTCTTATGTTTTGCATGCCTTAGCGGTTAGACCATTGACCACGCGTCCTCGAGAGGACGGAGCATTGTTCCCACAGGACCGATCACCGATGGCCAATCGTTCCTTCTACTTTGCCAAAGGAAGCTCAGAAATGTCTTCCCTAGTCTGTCTATCCTAACGATATCCCTTCCCGCCTTTTCAACCCACCTCCTATGCCCCAGTACAGCTACCGTCCTTTCCTCTCTATTCCATGCCTCAAACATCTCCCTGTACGTCCTGGCTATTTTTCCCAGCTCAGCCACGTACACGTCCCTCTCCTTCTTGTACAACGGACATTCCGCGACTACATGAACACGGTCTTCGCATTCGGAGCCGCAATCACATATGAACTCGTCGTCTTCCTCGTCTACCGTCCTATGTCTTCGTAGACGTTCTCGAAGGCCTATGTCCCCGGTCCTGAATTTGACCTTAAGCTTTGTCCCTGCATCCATTGGTCCATGTAGGTAGTCCTTGAACCCTACTCCTTCAACATTCCGTACACTTCTAGACCCTCCTTATCCTTGGATTCTTTCCTTAGATTATGTTCTCTCTCGGCACAAGCAACAGATATGTCCTCCTTGAACCCCTGTAGACCCTCCGTTTCCAGCGGTTCATCTTCGACAGGGTGGGTGGCGATTATATGTTGATCACTTCGTGCTTGTTTCGGCTTCACTCGGAAGTGTCTTGAAAAACCGTACATCATTTTTTCGCCGTCGTAATGGCGCTCTTGGGATTCAAAGACGTGACAGATGTCTGTTGTTGCCGTAATGAGCACTTTGAAGGCGTGCTTGTTGCGTGGTGCGGCGTAATTCGGTGGCGCCACACAACTGGTGTGCCAACACTAAACAACTGGAGGAGGAAAATCAGGACGACGATCGATGACTGCAACACTTTGTTTCTTCCTCCCATGCCATCAAAACGTCATGAAACAGCATGCATGGTGCTTTCTGTTTCGGCTTCGCTTCAAGCGTCGAAAACCGTAAGCGATTTTGTTGCTCCCGTCATGGTACTCTTGAGGTTCAATGACGCAAGAGACGCCGTTATCCGCAATGAGCGACTTGAGAGCGTGCTTGTTGTGTGATGCGGCGCAATGTGACGGTGTCACACGGCCTATATGCCATTTGTAGGAAATGGAGAAAGATACCTCAGGACGATCGCTAATGACTGCATTTTCGGTTCTAGTTCTTTTTTTGTTCATGACAACGTCAGGCATGCAGCATGCGTTCGTGCTTTCATCGCGGACACTCAGCCGAATGTTGCTCTCGACTCATACGACACGCATTGGCCCTTTGCCACGTGAATAGTCGGGTAGGGTGGCAAGGTATCAACGTGTCAACGCCGCTCATGGCCAGCAAAATGATTCGTCACAAATGCAAAATAACACGAGAGCCAATCAACGAGCGAGGGAGAGTCATCGGTCGAACTCCCTTCGGCAAAAGCTAGCTAAAGGGAGAACAAACACACGAATGTTGAGACAGACTCTTTATATTTTTTTAGTTTTTTTCCATCGGTTGATGGTTGGTCCATTTTGTTGCCACATCGATCTGCCCAACAACGTGAAAACCCGAATCGTCTACATTGTTACGCATAAATACGCTAGTATAGTCTCCACACACATCCCTGGCTCCCCGTCGACAAACGAAACACGTTCTGCACATTTTGAGCAGAGAACCCAGTCAAACACCAACAATCGTGTCTACTTCTGCTGGATTGATGTTGTCATCACCGCTCCCTCTAGAAGTACAAGTGGACCTACTCATATTACCCAACCAGCGGGTTGTCCATTCACCCTTCCCGCAATGCAAAGCCGACGTGGCCGTTTCCTTGCTCCCAACCGGCCGCAGTAGAGCGATGACACCTACGCACTTACTTCCAACAGATGGCCCACTGCTCCTTCACGCTGCCGTAAAGGAAACAGAGGGCATCCGCGCTGCTGGTACGAAGGAGCATACACGCACATGACCACTTTGGTTTTTCTACTGCCTGCCGCTGCAGCAGCACCAAGCAAGGTAACCCGGCCACGAAAAATATGCAAGGAGGTGGGTATCGGGTCTAACCCAACGGCGCGGCAGTAACCTTTAGACTAATGGTTACCACATTAAGAGAACAAGTGTGTTGCAATCGCAACCTCATGTACCGACTAAATTGGACAGGCAGGCTTGATTTCCAAGAATTTTTAATCCAGGAACGGGGACGTCTCACACCGGAGAGCTCCACGAAGGACCGAGTGCTATTTCACTCAGTAAAACGCCAAACCGAAGAAGCACAACCATAAGCTTCCAACCTCGTGCCTAACGCACGCACGCATGATACAGAGAAACACGCCATAAACAGACGACGCCCCGCCCGCAACATGAATCTAATAGTGATAAAAACCCGACATCTCGACCACGCGGGCTACGAAACAAAACACAGCCCGTACAAACCAACCTGCTGCGAGCATTATTCTCGTTGAAGCTAGCAAACCACAAGAAGAGGCTACAAGTACAGTAGTGAAACAGCATACGATGAGGACGTGGAGATTGCCTGCCAAAAATGAAAAAGAAAACAACAGCACAATTTTTCTGCCAAACAAAACCTGTCGCAAACCCTGCTGATTACACCGGATGCAAACATCGGATTTTTCTAAATACTCCCAAGACATTTACGCGACTTCAGTGCACGGTTCACGGCGGCGCCGGGCAGTAATGTTTTTGTGGTTGCGCTGCACCCTCCATTCCTCGTGATACAAATGAGAAACTACAACCGAGAGACAAGGAAACAATCAATCAAACGACCCATCCATGCCGAAAAATAGGCTCGTCACACACAGAACGAACGACAAGGGGTCCTGTGTACTTTCAGGCGCCATTGCATGGAGCAAGCCAGAAAATTGAGGGACAACGGTACTACAAAAAAATAAAAATATATGAAACATACATAAACGATGGCGCAACGGAAGCTTTGTATGTACATGGGAAGATGCTTGGATCGTTCCCACAAAAAATGAGGAAACGCCAAAGAACAACCAAACTCGATCCGACAAACTCCGTGTCAGCAGGCACCTACCCACCCCCAGCAGTGAGCATGACTTTTATTTGGGCAAGCAAACTTACTCGCAGCTTGCTTGTATAGTCGGAAAACTGTGCTGTGTGTGGCGTTACACCGAAAGGAGGGCCGGACGAAGAAAGACGAAACAAAAAAACAGCTATGCATCACGAGTACATGTAGGCAAACTTGATCTGAGCTGTTGATTTAGCAACGACGTTCGTACACTGTAATACGTATACTTCTGTGTTCCAATGTTCCATCGCGATTCTTGCCGATAACGCGTTCCACGATCGGTCTCGTGTGCCCAAACGCACAACACGGGTTCTACGTACATATATTTACTAAACATGCATCCACATACGCAGTCGCAAGAAACTCCAACATGCGTTACAACCGAAAGCCGAGAATCTTCGTCTGGTAGCTTCACTCCACCCCGTACTGCACCTCCCTAGCTTCGCAGTGCTGCGGCACGCCCATTCTCTTGGCCCGACCGAAGACGTTCGCAACGTAGTCCCCAAGGAAGGCCACCTTATCGTGGAAATCCTCCGCACCCCGCCACCTCCTGCCGCTACCGCCGCCATTGCTGCTAGCGCCGCTGCCCCCGCCGAACATGCCGCGACCACCGCTGTCACTCGAACCCGAACCCGCCTCCGCCACCACCGGCGCAGGAGCGGGCTTCCCGAGGAGGGGAGCGGGCCCCCGGTTTTCGCTCTGCCAGGCTGCCCACTTCTGCTCCAGAGTTTCCCGTGTGCGGGCGTTTTCTCGGCCTCCCGGCGCCGACAACGGGGCGGCCCGCGGCGCCGCCGGTGCCCCCGCTTCCGAGGTGTGCTCGCCGGTAGGCGTGGCGGCGGTGGCGGTGGCGGCGGTAGCGATCAGGAACTTGTTGCTGTGGAGGCGAGGAGTAGGAGTAGTGGCGGCGGTGGCGGTAGATCCCATCTCGGGCAGGACCGGCATCGGAGTAATAGCCCTGCTGGCAGTCGGTATGCCGTTGACCGAGCTGAACGGTCCGCTGCCGGTGGCGTTCGAGCCCAGCGCCGCAAGGGACGGCGGCGGGGGCGACGAGGGCTCGCCGAAGGACAGGATGGCTCTGCGTCTCGCCTCTATGATCCGCAGGTTTGCGAGGTTATCCCGCCTCTGCTGGTGCTGGGCAACGGGAGGAGGACCTCCTCCTCCTTCCTCCAGGCTCCGGGCTGCTGCCGACTGCTGCAGCACCTTTACCGGCCCCGAGGCGGACGAAAATTCCGAACTGCTGTTGCTGGACAACGACGACGATGACAAGGTTGACGAGGAGGAGGTGGGGTGGCAACGAAACTCGGAGACATTGCTGTCGAACTTTCTTGACGCCGACAGCGGGGCTGGCCTCAGCTCCGACCTGCTGAACAGCATGCCCTCGGAGGCCACTACCGAGGAAGATCTCGCGTTCACGGAAATCGACCGCGGGGGTGCCCGGCGCTTATTCGCCGAGGTCGGAGATGGAACATGCGGACTGGTGCCAATCTTCAAAGCCGAGCGCCTCCGCACGAGCGGGACCGACTGCTGTTGCCTTCTCACCGCCGCTGCGTCCTCCCGAGGCGGCGTCATAGGAATATATGCTGGCGCTGCCATTTGGCAGTGTGCGGCATTGGGGATAGCAGCGGAGGGTCGCGCACGAGCAGAATTAAACTTCAAGCATGATGAACTGAAGAATCCTTCTCACACACACGGACGGGCAGCACTGTTCTCTGCCGCGGAAAAGTTGTTGAAAACAAGGGGGGATTTGTATTTGTATTTGGAAGAGAGTGGAGGCCGAATCTTTATTAACGTATGCATTCTGCTGAACGGACCATATTCCAGGTGAACGGTGGGATGAATCTGCAAAAGGGGTCACGCGCAAGTGTCGCGAAGTTGGAAGCAGTATGATACGATGTTCTGCACCGGCGGGGTCCGGCTACGGAACTTCGTCTCTGTCCCCCCCAGCCGACTAAACCCCAACGGCAGGGTTGACGGCCTCTAGATATGTGTTTTTTGGTGTTGCTCAAACCTGTCCGAACCGAAGCGCCTTTCCGTTCATCATCGGACCAAAAAAAAGGATTCTGTGCATTTTCTCCCCGGGTCCCTGTCATCAGCTAGCAGCGTTTTTGCCACGCCCCGCCGGCGCGCTTCCGACGCTCTCTCCTCTACTCGCCCTCTCTATGCATCGAGAAAATTGCCAAGGCATCGACAAGATGCAAGCCCCAGAGAAAGAGAGAGAGAGAGAGAGAGAGAGAGAGAGAGAGAGAGAGAGAGAGAGAGAGTAGCAAGAGGCACACACGGGCGAGCAGCAGCAGCATGTGAAGGAAATGCTTCGGCACATCCATCCACCTGCCCCTTTGGTCCTCCCTTGGGCACGTTCGCAGAACGAATGTAGATTACGTGTACTGCCTATGCGTACGTTCTCTCTTGGTGCCTGCCTACAAATACTACAGGGAGGTTTGCAGTGCCCTGTCCCTTTATCTACCGAGAGCACAATCTGCTCCAAGCCTGGGTTTGCAGCAGCAGCTGGCCTACCAAAAGACCGAAACGAACCCTTTGTCTCTCTCACCGCCTATCGCCACTGCTGCCGGTGGAAACGGCTCTCCTCCTCCCTGCTCAGAACGAGGTGATGATGGTTGCGTGACTGCTGCTGTAATCCCCGCTGCTGCCTGCTGCTGCGCCGCAGTCCACTCGACGCCACTGCTGTCGTCCACCCTGGGAGACATCCGGGAGAGCAGGAGTGCGCCGCAAGGCTGTGGTCTGCTGTTGTCCGGCCGGGAATCTCCCCTGTGTTGTGTGCGTGTGTTGTGCTACCGCTGCAGCTGCTGTGTATTGAGAAGCCGGACGCAAACTTCGTGGAATCTAGCTCTTTAAGGTGTTGTTTTTGGGCAGGTGTGTGTGATGGGGTTGACTCTGGGTGTGATGGGGTTGACCCACAAGACAAAAAGTAAGTTACTTTCCTCGCGTTCTGAACATGTGAGAAGGAGAGGGAGAACTGCGGAGCTCTTCAACGGAACATTGCATGGGGGCCGGTCAGCTGGGCAGGGGAGGCATCTAGAAGTTGTGAGAGAGGAAAAAGAACGATTCGAGAGAGAGAGGAAGGAGATGGTAACTGCTGCTGCTGCTGCTGCCGCTGTCACAGCAGCTTGTAGTAGAGATAATGTTGTCCGGTCGTATTGGCGATGCACACTGGTTGCCAGTGAGTCAAGCCGTCACAAAGATACTCCGCGCCGGTATGTCAATGAATGGCTTGAGGGGTCATGTGTAGACAACGTGATTCATGTTGCGTTGAAGGTTTAGGCCTCTGCTGCGTGTTGCCTGTCAGCTGGTGACAGCAGTACTGAGCAGACCGGTACGCCGCGACAGGAGGATTAAAATAGTTGAGCGTTGAGCGGTGAATTCGTACTTTCTCTTCGAAAAAAATTTGAACGTGCGATTTGCCACAAGGCAACCACCCGCGGATGTATGCAACACTACTGCGTCTTCTCTGTGTGTAGCGCCGTGTGTTTGAATGATTGGCACTCTATGCCGATAACGTGCCTCTCTTGTACATACGTAGTCCTTTAGAGAGCATCAGGCGGAGAGTATACTGCCGTAGAGGCAGCAAAAGAGAGAGATCGGAGGCTTGAACCCAGGACGGAAGCAGTTCCCACCACAGCTACATTCAGCAGCTGCCTCAGCGTTCGTTGTGATGCGTGTTGGCCGTAATCCTCAGCACAATCAAATTCTTCTCCTTCGAAACCAACCTTTTGGCGAATCACTGCACTTTCCTGTTATCACCCCGCGTTTCCTGTTGATTACCCCAACAACACGAAATGACCAGAGGCGTCTAAATAGTACCATCGTTGTTTGTTCTCGATGTCTATACATACGCTCGGTGCTTGCTTGTTTGTGTAGCACACCCATTGTGGGACTGATACAGCACATATCACACAAACGCCTGCCGCCCCGAAGAAAAAATGGCGCGTGTGTGGGTGGACACGGATCACTGGCGACCTTGTACGCATCAGGAAGGATTTCTGCCCACTCTGTTCTTGTCCATTGACTGCCGCACATTCTCATATCCTCCCTCTCCCTCAGTAGCAGCTGCCACGTATTTGATTACGAGAAACGGCAATCTTCAGCAACACAACTGCCAGAAGGCACGCGCCATGCGTGGCAATTTGGTCCGCAGCAGACGGTATCGGGCGTCAAGTAATCTTTGTCCAGAACGAACAAGACCATATGGCTCCACACATTATAGTAAATAATAGTACACAGGGGCCGGACGGCGTCTTGTATTCAAATCTTAAATGCATGTGTTTCCCCAAGCGATTTGCAAAACTCGCCCTCGTGCGGCGTAATACCTGTGCAGCCACCGATCAAAAGATTCGCCCTGCCCCCAACAAAGAGAGGATACAGCACGAAAAAACAAATAATCAGCATCGCACTTTCCCACGTCATGTTCCAGCAAACGCCTTCTTCCCCTCTTTCAGCTTGAAGAAGAAGCACCTTCTTCGCCACCCTCCTCGCGAGCCGTGGTCGCCGCTAGGGTCTGCTTCCGCCGGATTTTTGTCTCGATCAAATCTCGGAGCTGCTGCAGCGGGACCCTCGCTCTTTCCGCGGCCTTGGTTGGCAGCCAACCCTTGCCGCCCCCAGCGGCGATCGGCGGCGGCGGCGGCATGCTCTTCGACCCTCTTGACGACACAGCAGCAGTCGAGGTGTTGGCGGCGGGTTCGTCGTCGCTGCTCTCCCCGTCTGACGAGCTTTTCGGCGAAGAGGACAGAGAAGATGATGAGGGCTCGACCAGAGAGCCGACGGCCGCTCTCTTGTTCTTGCTCTTGGACCCGATTCCGTCACGGCTGTCGTCGCGATTGCTGCTGCGTTTCCTCCCCGATGAGCTCTCCCGCCGCTTTCGCTTATTTTTGTGTTTACGCTTGTGGGTGGTGCTACTACTTTCGTCCTCGTCCTTGCCCTCGCCTCGCTCTCCCCGTCGGCTGGACTTCTTGCTTTTCTTGTCTCGCTTCTCCTTCTTGGCCTGCTAAACGATCCAACGCGCGTGCCGGAAGTGCCAAATGAAAATTATGATGCGGCATGATTCCATGCACAACGAGTAGGCAGGTGGCGCAACATGCAACATCAGTACCCAAGTTTATGGACTTGTGCTCTCTGAGAACACTACAAAAAAAAAAATACGCGCGACGGGACAAACCCATGGAATGCTCCATGACCAGCAGAAGAGTTTTTGGAGGACTTCTCTTGGGGGAGCAGGGGGGTAGAGCATCTAGCTGTACGTCCGAATGGCCGCCTGCGCCGGAAACAGCGTCGGTCGAAGCGGTGGCGGGAGGGGCCGGGGGTACGGCCGGAAAGACTGCTGTCCGGCCCGTCTGGCATGCAAGAGTAGCAGGGGGAGAGGTCACATGCTGCACGGGGAGGCGGTGGTATTGTGGATCAGATGTACCACAAGATCACGCCAGATGGGAACGTCACGTCCACACTGCCAGTGGCGAACGGTATGCACCATGAGGGTGTTGCGAAAGCACTACTGGCGGAAGTTGCCGTGTCGGCGACTACTGGGTTCCCATGCAACGTAATATGAACTCCCGATCTCCCCGCGTTCACATGTACCGCCCCCCGATAACCATTGTAAATTAAAATCTAATCAGGATCGGAAACAGCGCCACCAGGTTGCACCGCAATATTTTGCCCCGAAGCACGAACTACATGTGCTTAGTTCAGACAAGAGAATTCAGGGTCTGACGCTGCCCCACCTTCTCCCTCCTCTTTCCGGCGTGCTCCTCGTCCCTATCCTTGTCCTTCCTCTTCTTTGTCTTGCTTGAGGATTTCCTCCTGCTGCCGCTGCTGCTTCTCTTTTTCTTTCTCTTCTTTCCCCTCCGGTCTCCACCACCACCACCATCATCGTCCTCTTCGTCGCTGCTGCTGCTGCTGCTGCTGCTGCTGCTGCTGCTGCTATCGCTTTCTCTGCCTCCTTGCCGTGCTCGCCGTTTCCCCTTCTTTCCTCGAGCTGCGGCTACCGACATGTCCACCACTCGCTGTCCAGAACCCGTCGTCTGCTCGACCGTCCTCTGCCTCACCACCGTCTTGTGTTGGTATCCGACGCCAATCTGGGGTCGATTTGACACAAATCACATTCATTCGCCGTTGACGTGAAACATTTACAACATCCCAGAGGTTCTGTCGACAGACCACGGCGAGGTTACCCTTCAACTCCACAGAGCAGCACATGCAAAATGTTCACGTATACACCCATGCTTAGAAGAACTATGGAGTCGCCGTCAAAGCAGGCGCGTTGGTTACATCGCAGTGATGAGCATTGGTAGTCTTGGAGCCGCATATGTCGAAGATAACGCATCGTGCCACCCTTCAACAAAGGCACCAGCATCACCTCGTCCGATCAGCCGCAAGCATGAGCGAAGTGACCTATGGGGGCGCGTTCGGAGCGTGTTCGGAGTAGGATTGAAACACAAAAATTGAACAAAAGGACAACTAGGCCTGATGCGTGCCCGCGAAAAGATTAAAAGAGCTTTCCCGACTTTTCTGCCGAAAATCACCTGTGTGTTGAAGAATTGATCGCGGTTTACGATGCACGCCTTCCGCTCAACGCCATCCTTTTTGTCCCTTGCCTTGCTCTCGCGCAGCATCTCCATTTCTGCAAAACACAGTAGACAAACGCGCCCAACATCATGCATGTAAAATAACGGCATCGGATAGTGCTAGACTACAGGTACTACACAAAACCGCTGTGTGGTTCACCGGTGGATGCGAAAATCTGCAAGTTGCATCATGGCTATATGAAGGCCCAATATGCCGCCACTGAAAACTTAGATCGAGCAGCTGTTGCATAGCACCGGGAGGGTAGGCAAGAGGGCACATCAATGAACACGATCATCCCTACAACAGTTTTCTCTCGGCTTCCTTGCGCACACCTGCGGGTTCTGGTTATCAACGCCTCCACACACCGCGCGGAATGCACAGCAGTTATGCCTGTGGAGCGTCTTTGGCTTGTTTTCTCGTCTTAGCTTCCATGAACCACAATGCTGTCATCGGCCCGATGCTACAGTATAAAGCTGGTGTGCCAAAAGCCTTGTCGCCTTGCACATTAAGCCCTCTTCTATTTGCTATTAAAGTGCTACTTAGCATATGCCTCACCCCGATACTTACTATAATACCTGTTTATCGGCGGTCGTCAACGAGGGCCCGGAAGAAGGCGCATCTGCCTTACGGGGGTACCTGTGTACCACACCAGGTCGTGGCTGTGGAAACGATTTCTTGACACCCATTGTGTGGGCACCACATGTCAGCATATAAGGCTTGGGGCACCTTATCTTGAGTTGGGCAAACACCCTTTTTAAAGTAGCGTCAGCGGTTAGATATCATCCCTGCAATGTCAAAGTCCCGGGTTCGGATCCGGGCACGTGAAAATGTTTTTTTTGTCCGCCGCCAGCCGGTCGGGTTCCGGTTACCGTACATGCTACGGGGGGTGCGTCGTGGTACCCGCGTATTTGTCTACGATGCTGAGCTGTCCGCTCTCTCGTATCCGGGGGGGTATGTGGGCACCACATGTCAGTATATAGCCTGGCTTGGGGCACCTTATCTCGTGTCGGGCAAACACCCTTTTACAACTTGTCCGAAGGGTGTTTGCCCGACACGAGATAAGGTGCCCCAAGCCTAATATACTGACATGTGGTGCCCACAATAAAAAGGGTGTTTGCCCGACACGAGATAAGGTGCCCCAAGCCAGGCTATATACTGACATGTGGTGCCCACAATTGCATTTCGACCGAACAAAAGTGGCCCCCCCAACTCTGTGCACGGCCCAGGACTGCTGTAATTCGCTGAAGTGGGGCATACCCTACCGCTACAGCAATTCTCCATGCACCCACCCCGACTCACCCATCTTGAGTCCAGCGCTTGCGTTGGCAGCCATCTGTTGCAAGCCGTAGTCGTCCTCGCTACTGGAACTGCTCCCGCCGTCGCCATCATGCTCTCGAGCTAGAACCCGGTTGAGCAACTGGCTTCCTTTCGGCGGCATATTTAGACTCTACTCACCCACCCCCGCGGTTCGTCTGCTTGGATAGCGTTGACCAAAGGGCCAAACCTATGGTGAAAATGTGTTCAGCTCAATGGATAGGTACCTCGCCACCGGAATCGCTTGCACTGCGCGCTGTCCACCTCACGGGCACACAATGGGGAGCAAGGGAGGGGGGAACGGGAGCTGGACGGGAGGAGCAGCAGAGCGTAGGAGCAGGGAGCCGAGGGCGAGGAGCTGCCGGCTCCTGATTGGTCAACATGGGTTCAGCGCGGAACCCTCGGTTACCACTCGGATTCTCCCTCTTTTAGCCGCGCCCCCCTCCCCGCTCCTCTCCCCCGTTGTTTTGTTTGTTTGTACCGTCTCTCCCCCACGTCTACTTAGCTCTGCTCCTCCCGGCCATGTTGCTTGTCCAGCGATCAACGTCGTTGCTTGCGAAGAGATTGCCCAGGGCACTTGGAGTCCGCGCTCTCTCGCAAGGTCAGGGTGTTGCTGCGGAGAAGGAGGAGGAGGATGTTCCAAAGGTAAAAACAGCAGTTGACTCAGCGTTGCGTGTCGTGCTCTAGACTACTGCTGAAACAAACAGCTGTAAATTCAATGTGGTGCGCTCAATCTGCCTGCGTTGCCTTCGAACAGCATTTCAGCTCTAGAGGTTACCTATCACCCGCACCATCACTCACCCGTCGCTGCCAACGCACAGCAAGCATGTGATTTGGTGCATAGGCCAAAGGCACCGATGTCGGTGAGTCTTTCAGCGTTCGTAAGCCTGTAGTCGACAGATACTTATGTACAGTTGACCCCGCTTTAGGGATGCTCGCGTTAAGGAAACTCTCCCCTTAAAGGAAAATTGTTTTGCTGTGAGCACCAGGGGGCCCGGTACACTGCTCGATTGATTGTTTGTGTTTTACTTCATGATAATGGGGGTACCCCATTTTTTCTGCCGCGTACCCCCCTTTTTTGTGTCCTGCGGGCCTGCGGGCCGCTCTTTGCACGAACCACACATCACAGCAGTGAGTGCAGAATTAGCGACGCGCAGACAGCAGAAGTAGCGAGCGGTCTGCTGCTGCAGCTGCAACTGGGTGTTGGTATGGATAGAATCCTACCATCTACCGGCGGTCCATCTGATGCCGCCAAAAAAAGCCGTGCATAACCTCGTCCCTCACCGAGGGCGCGGTTATCTCTCGCTTGGAGGACGTTTGTTTGGGGTGTCGGCGCGTGTACTATGTTATCACGCTCGCGGGCTCTTGTCGAGAGCGTGTTGCACAAAGGAGTGACTCAAGTTCCTTGATTAACTATTAACGAGGTATTAACGAGTGACAAGCATGAGCAGCAGGCAAGAAGGACCTGCTGCTGCACACACGTCTGCATATACCCAAACCTATCATATATGCGTACCCCCTCGGATATCTCGGAGATCTGTATCCTGCCGAGTACATACACAAACAG